AAAGAAAGAAAGAAAAAGAAAGAAAAAATTAGGGCTAGTGAGATAGTTCAGCAGACTAAGTGCCTTCTTAGGCAAGTGCAGGGACTGGAGTTTGATCCCCAGTATGCACGCCACTGTCCCCACCCTCAGTTGTGCTGAGCTGGCCACCAAGATCATGTATAGTGGCACACACACACCTATATTCCCAGCACTGGGGAGGCTGCAACCAGGAGGATCACTGTGAGTCCGAGCTGGGTAGTGAGACCCTGTACCAAATACATAAAAGTAAAAAAAAGAAAAGAAAGAAAAAAGGAAATGTGTAAGAAACTAATAAGAGAAAAAGAACAAACAATTGAAAAAAGGAGAGAAAACAAATTAAGCATTATCTGCTCCTTTCCATAGAGCAGCAGAAATGCACAGTACAGTTGTCCAAACCATCCTGTTTACATACATAGATAAAGCTCTTTTCCCCAGTCCAAGCTGCATAGTGAGACCCTGTAACAACAAAATACATTTAAAAAAAAAACCTCTTTCCCCCACTCCCTCTCCTGTCCTTCTCAACTCAGTAACTCTTTCCTTTTGAATAAGTTCATGCCCTTTTCCCAGTATCTATTGTACCCTTTAGATTCCATTATTCTCTTTCAGATTCTCATGCTGAGACAATAGGATCTTTGCACATGCAGGTCTGATTTATTTCACTTAAAAGTATGTTCTGTAGTTGCATCCATTTACCAACAAAAGACTCAAATTTATCCTGCTTTATAGCTGAATAATTCCCCATTGTGTAAAAATACCACATCTTTTTTCATTCTTCAGGTGAGGGGCATCTGGGCTGCTTCCAGGATTTAGCTATGACAAATTGCGCTGCTGTAAACATGGGCGCATACACATTGCTGTGGTGTGGTGGTTTTAGTTCTTCTGGAAAACTACTCAGAACAGCATATTTTTATTTTCATTGTACCGATACGTATTCATCCTTCAAGAGCTGAGCAGAGAGCCAGCTGCGGGGTAAGGCTGCCTGGCTCGGAGTCCCAGCTCCACCACAACCTACTAGTTTGGGGCCTTGAACAGTTACTAACTTCTCTTCCTCTCAGGTTGATTTTAATCTGTGAGATGGAGATGATAATAGTAAGAATAGCACAGGCCGCTGGAAGGCTTCCAATGCCCAGGTATTTGTAGAGCACTTAGAACAAAGCCTGTTGCAAAGTAAACACAGCAGAAGCGCTTCTTTTTTGGGGGGGTAGGACAACCAGGGGTCGAATTCAGAACCTTGCACTTGCCAGGCGGGCACTTCTGCTGCTGAGGTATCTCCCCAGCCCTAGAAGTACTTCTTAAATTAATGAATTCATAGTGCTGCAAAGCTGGTTCCAAAGCACCAGTGCTTTCTTATCTGCTCTCTAACTACCTGAGTATTGTGCTGTGGTCCCTATTTCTTGATACTTCAGGAGCCTCACAGGAATTTCGATCAGATCATTAATCAGCATTATGATATCATCACTTCCATCAGCTGAACTCTGGGGCAATGAAACAATGAAAATGATTACTGTGTGTGTGCGTGTGTGTCTTTTTTTTTTTTTTTTTTTTTTTTTTAGCAGAGCTGGGGATTGAACTCAGGCGCTTGTGCTTGCCAGGCAAGTGCTTAGTCTACTGAGCCAGCTCCCCTCTCTTCTCCTCCTCTCCTCTCGCCTCTCTCCTCTCTCCCTTTCCTTTCTTTTCCTTTTATTTTTCTCAGCATTAGGGGCCTTCCCACTGAGTTACACCCACAGCCATTTTTACATCTTTGTTGTGAGACAAGGTTTAGCTAAATTGTCTAGGCTGGGGCTGGAGAGATGGCTCAGTGGTCTAAAGCACCTACTTGAAACAAGCTTGGCAATGCACAGGGACCGCGGTTCAATCCCCCAGCACCACATGCCAGCCAGCCCCGCCCCCTGGTGGGCTGAGCTGGCCACACACACAGACACACACAAATAAATAAATGTTAAAAAAAAAATAAAATAAATTGTCTAGGCTGGATTCAAACTTGCAATTCTCCTGCCTCAGCCTCCTAGAAATGCTGGGATTACAGGAATGTGCTTCCATACCCAGCTTATTATTATTATTTAATATATTTGGTATAGCATCTTACTACATAGCTCAGACTCATAGTGATCCTCCTGTTTTCAGCCTCTCCAGCACTGGGATTATAGGCGTGCACCACCATGTGGTACCAGGGATTGAACTCCAGTCTCTGTGCTTGGTGCTTAGTCTGCTGAGCTATCGTGCCGGCCATTATTATTATTATCACCATCATCATTTTTAAAAAAAATTTTATTTATTTGGGGGGGAGCTCAGCCCACCAGGGGGCGGGGCTGGCTGGCATGTGGTGCTGGGGGATTGAACCACGGTCCCTGTGCTTTGCTTAGCTTGTTCTAAGTAGGTGCTTTAGACCACTGAGCCATCTCATCAGCCCTCATCATCATTATTTTATAAAACTTTTTGCTATCCTTTTTATTTTATTTTATTGAGAAACAAATATCAATGAGACGGTTTTAAAACTGATTAATAGGACAGTTTCAATAATTAATATATTGTACATTGTTATCTTCTTAGTGGTTATCTGTAGTACAAGATGCAGACAGAATAGCCTGTCCAAACACTATTAGTACAAATCTTTCTTCTCACTGATTGTTATCCTTAAAACTAAGTCTATCTACCTGCTCCAGATCTTTTTTAATTTGATGATTTCTTTGCTTATTTTCTTGTTTTGTCTTCCATTGCTATCAAGAACACCTCTTTTTGTGTGTGTGTATTTTAGGGAAGGGTCTACAGGGTGTTCAGGGTCTCACTACTAGATCAGACTCATAGTGATCTGCCTGTTTACAGCCTCCCAAGTTCTGGGATTACAGGCACATGCCACCACGCCCAGTCTCAAGTGCTGTCTCAGTGCATCCCAGGGGCGGACCAGTATGGCATGGGGATCAAACCCTGGGCCCTTAAAGCTTGCCTAAGCAGTTGCTTTAGTCCACTGAGCTATCTGGTAGGCCCAAGAACACCTCTAAATTCCTCAGTTGTATCCATTTCAGTCCCGTGCATGAAGACCCTGTACACAACCTGTCATTCCCCAGCCTTCTGAGCTGACTGATTTCTTGACTGTTTGCCCAGGCGTTCCTCTCTCATTCTGCCCATCACACTGGGGTTTTAACTTGTTTTTGTTTCTGTCCACAGTGAGACTGAGGTCGCCAAGAAGCCAAACGCTCTGCACAGAAAGAAGCCGCCCCTGCCCAGCCTCTCATCACTCTCCTTGCATAAATGAATCTTATCCAAAAACTGGGAGAAACTTGGGAGGGGAAGCTTGCAGAAGGCAATGGATTTCATCTAAAACAGAAACAGCAAAACAATCAAAAGTACTGCAAGCAGGGGTACACGTGGTCATTCGCTGTCCAAGGGACAAAGAATATTAAAGTTCACTTCCACCATGGGCCAAAGACAGGATTTAATTGAAGTTAATGTACCTGGCTATTTTTCTTCTTCTTCATTTATTTACTTATTTATCTATTTTTGGTGGAACCGGGGATTGAACTCAGGCCCTTGCACTTGCCAGGGAAGCTCTTATTCTACTGAGCCATCTCCCTGGCCCTTTCTTGTTTTTTTAAAAAAATGATTGTTTAAATAATGTATTTATTTATTTATTTGGTATAGGATCTCACCACACAGCTTGGACTCATAGTGATCCTCCTGTCTCGGCCTCCCCAGTGTTGGGATTACAGGTATGCACCACTATGCCCGGTTTCAGTGGCCAGTGCAGCAGGCTCTAGGGTTCTGGGGCCAGTGCAGCATGCAGTATAGGGGATGGAACCTGGGTCCTTGTAGTTGCCAGGCAGGCGCTTAGACTGCCGAGCTATCTCCTCAGCCCACCTGGTTATTCTTTCATTCACTCTCTTATTAATCACGACACAACAATATATATCATTGAGTAACATAAAAGTAACCACGGGAGACCTCTATTTTATTGAGTATGTAGATGCTGGGTGCTTGGTTGAGCGTCTTATATTTATAGCCACTGTCTCTGCCAGCCACCCCCAGCTGGGTATTGTCATCTCCCTTTTTCCAGGAAGCACTGGAGCTTGCAGAAACAAAGACATTGTGTCAGCTTTGGCGGCTATGAGGTAATGCCTGGGAAGATCAGGCGAGGGGCACAAAGGTACATTTTGGTTTGTGGCTTCAGGCCCTGGTCAGCTGTCTCCAGGGCTCTTCAGCCCATGGAGGGGCAGAAACATCACAGCAGCGCAGGGAGGACAGCTGCTCACCTCACGGCTGCCAGGAAGCAGGGGGAGAGAGAGAGCCAGAGAAGAAGGAACTGGGGCCCAAGCATAACCCCTGAGGTCATAGCCCCATGGCCCCTTCCTTCAGCCAGGCTCCACTTCCTGTTTCTGCCACCTCCCAGGAGTGCCATCAATGTCATCCAATGAGGATCTCTGAGTCAGTCCACTGGATGTTAAGAGAGAGCCCCGAAATCCAATTCACAACCCCAGAGGCCCATCAGCTAATAACTAAGATTTCAGCACATGCGTTTGGGGGACCATTTCAACTCCCAACCATAGCAGATGCAATGCCTAACAGTCTGAAGAAGCAAAAAGGTGGGAGCCGGAAAATGCGCATAGGCTTTGCTAGAAATTGGCGTGGGATTGCAGGGATACTGAGGTGGGTGGAGCCTGTAACCTGAGCACTTGGGAGGCTGAAACAGGAGGATCCTATGAGTTTGAGGTCAGCCTGGGCTACTTAGTGAGTTCAGGGTCAGCCTGAACTGCATATTAAGATCCTTTCTCAAAACTCAAAACTTGCTCAAGAACCTTAAAACTACCTACACTTGGGGCCGGAGAGATGGCTCAGTGGAATAAGCGCTTCCCTGGCAAGTGCAAGAGCCTGAGTTCAATCCCTGGTTCCTCAAAAACAAACAAACAAAAAAACTACCCACACTCACTGCGTCATTTAATACATATCTGGAAATCTACCCGATGAAAAGTAATTCTAAATAGAAAATAAGGGCTGGGGGGGATAGCCCAGCAGCACAGCACATGACTGGCAAGCAGAAGGTCCTGAGTTCAATTCCTGGTTTAAAAAAAAAAAAAAACCTAAATGAGAAATAAACTATGTAAAATTGTTTATGTTAATTTGTAATATCTGATAAATAAGTTAGTAATATAGACATTCTATGAAATATTGTGCATCTGTTTAAAGTTATGCTTAAGAAGTCATGGAGGGTTGGGGAAATAGCCTGGCAGTCTAAGCACCTGACTGGCAAACGCAAGGACCCAGGTTCTATCCCTGGCACTATCCCTGGCCCCGTACACCATGCTGGCCCTGGAGCCCCAGATGTGCCGTGCCATCCCCTAGATCAGGCGTGGTGGTGCAAGCGTGTAATCTCAGTGCTGGGGAGGCTAAGGTAGGAGGATCACTTCATGTCTGAGCTGCATAGCAAGACCCTGTACCAAATAAATAAACATTAGAAAAAGTCATGAAAAAATAATTATAGGGGCTGGTGAGATGGCTCAGTGGTCTAAAGCACCTACTTAGAACAAGTTTAGCAAAAGCACAGGGACCGCGGTTCAATCCCCCAGCACCACATGCCAGCCAGCCCCGCCCCCTGGTGGGCTGAGCTGGCCACACACACACACCACACACACTCACTCTCTTTCTCTCTCTCTCTCTCAAATAAATAAAACAATGAAAAAAATTTAAAAAAAATAATTATAAGTGAAAAAGTAGGAATTGATTATTATGAACTATCATACACATATAAAATATAACTCAATTTTTTATTTTGTTAATCAGTGCTTCATTTTTATTTATCTTTTCGTTTTTTTTTTGTTGTTGTTGTTTTTGTTTTTTTGTTTTTTTTTGCGGAACCGGGGATTGAACTCAGGCCCTTGCACTTGCCAGGCAAGTGCTTATTCTACTGAGCTATCTCCCCAGCCTTATTTATCTTTTTGTGCCCACCCTGGGGGCGCAGCTCATGCGGCATGTGGTACCAGGGATCAAACCGCAGTCCCTGTACTTCCCTAAGCTTGAGTAAGTAGGTGCTTTAGACACTGATCTTGCAGGTCCCTAATCAGTGCTTTAAATCTATTGTTTTGATTTTTGGTTTTGGTTTGTAAATTTATGAATGATTTTCTTTCTTCTTATTTTTCTAACTCTGGGGATCAGTGAGATAGCTCAGCAGATTTGTGCCTGCTTAGGCACGCGCAGGGACCAAGGTTCAATCCCCAGCACCACTGCCATACCAGACCGGCCCCCGGGTGCTCTGAGCCAGCCATGGAGACTGAGTGTGGTGGTGCACATTTATAATCCCAGTGCTAGAGAAGCTGAAAACAGGAGGATCACTAGGAGTCCAAGCTGTTTAGCGAGACCCTGTACTAAATACATTAAACAAAACAAGACAAAAAAAACCCCTAACTCTTCAGGAAGCCTGTTAAGGTTAATACAAATGAACACACACACACAGAGAGAGAGAGAGAGAGAGAGAGAGAGAGAGAGAATAATTAGTATCTTTGGGACTATCTCCCTGGCCTTAAATGCAATGACCACAAGTTTTGTAAATGTTTATATAAACTAGACACATAAGAAAAAGTGCAAAACAAAATCAATGGAACAAGAATACTATGGGAGGGGCAGGGGAGGTGGCTCAGTAGAATAATCACTTCTCTGAGTTCAATCCCTGGTTCTGCAAAAAAAAGGAAAAAAAAAAAAAAAAGAATACTATGGGAAAGAAAGGGCCCTAGCGCTGGAGGACCTTCAAGTGTGCTCCTCAGCCTTAGTTCTCCAAGGAGCACTGGGTTCCAGCTAGGTAGCTGCTACTAAGTCAGTACTTGTTCCGTCCTTACTACCTGATTGGCCAACTACATGGGGGTCTCAGCCTGAATGCCACGATGTGGCCAGGTACCGTTTATATCTAGATGTCCCCCAAGAGCCACCATAGATAGAGCTTTTGGAAGGTGATTGGATTATGGGACCCATAACTGACTTGCCCTTGGGAGGTGGGTCTGCTCTCCAGAGGAAAGTCGCTGGGGGCGTGGCTGGAAGGGTCTGTCCCCTCCCCAGCTCTTCCCTCTGCTCGCTGCTTCCTGCCCCTCTTGCAGTGAGCAGCTTTTGCACACTACCACACACCTTTCTGACTCTGAGCTGGCAGACTACAGACTGAGACATGAACCTCTCCTTGGTGGGCGTAGGGTGTTTTGTCTCAGCAAGGAGGGAACTAGCTAAAATATCTGCCACTCACCAAACCTAGATAAGGTGGTCCTGATGTTTGTTCTCACAGCACTCTGGGTCTGTTTGTTTATTTGAAAAAGTTTCACTGTGTAGTTCAGGCTGCCTTGAGTCATCATAAGTAGCCCAGGCTGGCCTTGAAATTGGTAATCATCCTGCCTCAGCCTCCCCAGTGCTGTGATCACAGGAATGCGCCACCACACTTTTTTTTTTTAAACGTATTTTAGTACAGGGTCTACGAGGTCTCACAACACAGATCAGAGTAGTAGCAATCCTCCTGTTTTCAGCCTCCCAAGCACTGGAATTACAGGCACGCTCCACCATGCCCAGTCTCAATATCTGTCTCAGTGGGTCCTGGGGGGCAGGGCTGGCACAGCACACTGGGGTCCCTGCACCTGTCTGAGCAATCTTTTTTTTTTTTTTTTTTTGGTCTTTTTGAGACAGGGTCTTGATATGCAGCTCAGGCTGACCTTGAACTTGAACTCACTTTATAGCTCAGGCTAGTCTCAAACTTGCAACAATCCTGATCCTCCTGCTTCAGCTTCCTGAGGGCTGGGATTACAGATGTGTGCTACCACACCCAGCTTCTATTTGTTTGTTTGCTTTTTGAGACAGGATCTTGCTGTGTAGTTCAGGCTGGTCTCGAACTCATAACAATCCTCCTGCATCAGCCTCCTCAGTGCTGGGGGATAGGAGGGTGCTACCACATCCAGCTTTGTATGTTTGCAATTGAAGGACAATTAGTAAGACCCTGGGATAAGGATTTAGTCAAGTCTTTACAAACAGCAATCATTTTCAACCTTCTTCATGTAACCAGCATAGCCATTAAAAGGCATAAGGCAGGGACTGGGGAGACGGCTCAGTGGAATAAGCGCTTCCCTGGTAAGCGCAAGGGCTTGAGTTCAATCTCTGGTTCTGAAAAAACAAACAAACCATAAAGCTTAGTATAAACAACGTGATGTTATTTTCTTTCTTTGGTGGTAAGCATCAAACCAGGGTCTCAGGTATGCCGGACATGTGTTCTTATGCCCCAGCCCAAGGTTCTCTCTGTCTCTGTCTCTGTCTCTGTCTCTGTCTCTGTCTCTGTCTCTGTCTCTGTCTCTGTCTCTCTTTTGAGACAGGGTCTCACGA